GCTGTTTTCTATACAATGGAAATATCAAACGATATGATAGCTCTGTATTCCCATAGTTTGATTTTTTTTCTTTTAGCAAACTGATTTTTTTATGAACAGATCTGCATTTTATTCTAGCAAAAATCTCCCTCAACGTGCCCACTATGAGATGAGAATATAAGTGTAGAAAACTGCAGCTTGCTTTTCCTTTTCTATTCGAGCACCTTTGGGATCCTGTTGCCCTCATCCTCCGTATACTCAAACGCCCCATTTTCAAATGACCCCACCATTTGTGCCCAGCTAGATGCTCAAGAGGACACTTGCAAATAAGGAGAGCATTTTGGAAAATAAACTTTAATGCTTAAAACGTACTGGTGTTTAAATTTATACCTCATTTACATTAATCATGACGAACAATGCAGCAGCGCTTAATTTGTATCTCACTTTTCACAGTGGCTTAGCTTGTTCTGAAATGGCTATAGGGCAGACCATATATGTACATAGTATGATGTGACTTCAAAAAATCTGTTAGACTTTATTTTCAAATTGCCGGATGTAAGTCATTAACTCTGTTGGATGCCAGCATTGTGTGTTGCTAGACACTTCTCTGTAACTACTTACTATGAAATACGCTGTCCCAAGCCAAAGCTGGCTCCTGAAGTCTGGTCCTGAAGCAGTGGTGAAAACGTTGGCAGAGAATCGTTCCGGCCTCTGCCTGGCGTGGAACTGACATCGCACCTGCGTTGATTGTATTGTCAAAGTGTTTGAAATTCCTTCACTGAGCTTGTTACGTGGAAATAAAATGTGGTTGGTTTTAAAAGCTGAACCTTGTGGCCTGTACTTCTGCGCTCTTCAGGCTGTCCAGCTCCTCTCCAGGCTGCCCAGCTCCAGCCCCTCGCCGTGCGAACGAGGCCGCCGGGCTCGGTGCTGCGGGGGGAGCGGTTTTTGGTCTGGGGCTCTGCGAGGAGCCGGGGGGGGGGGTGTGGGGTGTGGGGTGCAACCCCCCGGGCTGGGCACGGAGCAGCGCTCCCCGGGGTAGGAGCCAAATGCCAAAGGGCCTTCCCGGGCCCGCTCTGCTCACCGGGCGCTGCCTGGAGAGCTGGTGGAGGAGGGGGAAGGGCCCCCACTGCCCGGGCTCCAGCGGCCAGCTCGACACCGAGATATCGCTGGCTTTTCCCGAGTCCACCATGGGGTCGTTCATGGTGCTGGAGCTGGTGTCCCAGGCGTAATGGGAACTGGGAAGAAACCGGCGGTTAAAAGAAAGGGGAGGAGGGGGGACGCTCCGCAAACGCCCCGTGGGAGTTGGGCGGTGTGCTCGGGGCGGGGGGGCCCCGGCTCTGGAGCCCTTTGCTCGGGAAACTGCCAGGGCCCTTCTTCCATTTCTGCCCCGGGCAGGTGATGAAAGGCTCGTAGCGCACAAACCCCAGTGCGGGTATGAACCCTCCTCCTCTTACACCTGTCCCCCTCACACAAAGCTCCTTAGCGGGGGGGGGGATAAAATAAAAAATCCTTATTTCTCCCTGCGCGCCAACGGCTGCCGCAGAGTCGGAGCTGCCGGGCACCGCTGCCAAGCAGAGGGGGGCCAGCGCCGGGCCAAAGCAGCGGGGCCAGGGCAGGCTGCTGTGCCCCCCAAAGCCCTGGCCCCCGCCGGGGGAGCACAGGGAAGAGCAGCCCCCCCACACACCCCCCCCCCCCCCCGGTACCTGGGCCGGGCGGGCGGGCGCTGCTTGGCGCTGGCGCTGGCGGCCGCGTCCCCCCGGCAGCCGCAGCAGCCGCTGTCCAGGATCCGCAGGTGCAGCAGCTCCTCCGAGTTGCTGAAGGCCGGGTTGTCCAGCGAGCTGGCCGAGGGCAACCAGGAGCGGGACCAGTACCGGGCCGAGAGGTCGTCCAGGCGGCAGAACCGGCGGTAGCTGCGGGGGGGGGGGGCTGCGGCAGCGCCCGGGGGTGCACGCACGTGCACAGGCGTGCACACGCATGTACATGCACACACACGCACATGCACATGCACACGCATGCACATGCACGCACACGCACATGCACGCACACGCATGTACATGCACACGCATGCACACACATGTACATGTACACACACGCACATGCACACACGTGCACATGCATGCACACGCATGCACATGCATGCACATGCACACACACGCACATGCATGCACACACACGCACATGCACACGCACACGCGTGCACACGCACACGAGGTCCCCCACCCTCCCCGGGACTCCACTGCAAGCACAGCTCGCCGGTTTCCACCCAAATTTCACAGCTGAGGGGCAGGGCCCCAGCCCCGCGCCCTGGGTGGGGGCAGAGCCCGTGACACCCGACAACATCTGGCCGCGGCCCCGCAGATGTTGGGGTGGTTTCCTCGGGAACAGTCTCCCCCGCGGCACGTTACGAAAGCCTGGCCGGGGGGGGGGGGGGGGGGCAGCGGGGCCGGGGCAGCGCGGCCCCCCCAGCCCTCCCAGAGGAGCCGTTTGGGGGGGGGGGGGCTGTGCCGGAGCCCTGCTCCCCCCACCGCCCCCCCCCCCAGCCGGGGGGCACGGCCGTGGCTCCGGGGGGGCTGGACCACCCCCTCCTCGTTCCCGCACATGGTTTCCCCCCCGGCCCCGGCACCTCCCGCCCGTCGCTATCAGCCGCCGCAGCGTGTTTTTCTTGGCAGAGCTCAGCCCCAGCTTCCCCCCCGAGCCGCGGCCCCCCCTGACCCCGGATGGGCTGCGTGCCCCCCCCGCGGGCACCCACGTGTGGGGCTGGAGCTGCTGCCCAGCACCCCCTGGGGAGGGGGCTGAAGGGCATCGACCCCACATCCCCTCCTTCTAGCGCCACCACTGACCCCAGCCCCCCCCCACCCCGTCGACACCCCCCCCCCCACCCCACGGCCCCCCCAGCCCACCTGCTGCGGCTCTGCTCGGCCCTGGCCTCCAGCAGCAGCGCCTTGAACCGCCGAATGGCGACGGCGGCGACGACGGCGCCCAGGAGGACGATGCTGAGCAGGACCCCCGCGGCCACCCCCAGCAAGCTCTGCTGCGTCACCCGGTAGTCGCAGCGCAGCCCCACGAACCAGAAATCGCTGCCGACGGGGCACCTGCGCCAAAGGGGGGGGGGGGGGGGGGTCATCAGCCGCCGGGGGGTGGGGAGCAGCAGCCGGCCCCCCAGGGCTGGCGCCGGGGGCACTCACTGGCAGAGGGGCCCGCGGTCCCGGGGGTGGGTGCAGATGCCGTGGTTCTTGCAGTAGTCGCGGTGGCAGAGGGAGGTGCAGGTGGCGTTCCCGTCCGCCCCGGCCACGCAGGTGAAGCCGGCCCGGCAGGCGAAGAGCAGAGCGCAGGGGTCCAGCGGCCGCTCTGCATAGATTGGGGGGGGGGGGCCGAGGTGGGGGGGGGGTGGGTGTCTGGCTGTGCCACCCCCTCCCCGGCCAGCGGGGAGCCGGGGCCAGGCAACGTGCCCAACCCTGCGATCACCCCCGGCCGGGCACCCGGCCCCGGGGGGCCGCAGGAGGGGCCGGGGGTGACCCAGGCCCCGCACTCACCCAGAGCCACGTGTCGCAGGACGGGGGCCGTGCCCACCGCCAGCCCGGGCCGGGCGCTGCCGGAGCCCAGCGCCGCGTCGAGGAGCGCGCCCAGCCCTGGCGCGGGCACCCGCTCGGCCGCGAACAGCGCGTCGTACTGCAGCACCACGCTGCCCTCCCTGCGGGGGACACCCCGCCAACAGTCCGACCTCCCACACCCCCCCCCCCCCAAAATTCCAGCCCTGCGCCCCGGCTCCGCAGCGTGTGGAACCCACCCCGCCCCGGGGAGCAGCGCACGCTGCGGGGCCGCGCAGGCACCTACCTGATCCCCGTCACCTCCAGCCTCAGGAACCCCGGCACCGACATGAAGAGGGGCACAACCTGTGCAGGGAGGAAGCTGAGGGTGATGCAGGGTGGCCCCCCAGGTGCGGCCCCCCCGCCCCAGTCCCCCCCTCCAGCCAGCCCCGTCCCACGCTCACTGTCCGGTTGAAGCTGTGCAGCAGCCCCCGGCGCTCGTGGGAGCCGGGGTCTTGCAGAGCAGGGACGAACCCCATGTCCAGCACCAGCTCGCAGGGGATGCGGAGGAGGGATGCTAAGGGAGGAGAAACAGGGATCAGCATGACAGGGACCCGCACTGCCTGCCCTGGGGGCCACCACCACTGACCCCCCCCCATGCTGATGGCTCATGGGGCCTCTCCTCCCCCCACTGTGCCCTGGCCGGGGGTCCCAACCCCACCAGACCCACCTCTCAGGAGGGGTGGCTGATCCTCCACGATGAACACCCGGGGGGCCCTGCCTGCCGCAGCAGGGGCCGGTGTCACTTGGGGGGTGTCAGCATCCGGCCACCCTCCGGGGCTGCTCGGCGGCTGGACCAGTTCTGCGTCCCCCGAAGCTGGGGGGGACCCGGGGCCCCCACGATGGCCCAGGGTCCCGGGGAGATCGGTGGGCTGCTGGGGAGGCGCTGGTGCCATGGTGGGCAGATGAGTTGGGGGCCCCCACGTCAGCCCTGCTGCAGCCCCCTGAAACACCCCAGCACCGGGCTCTGGTGGGACCGTCCCCCTGGCACCGAGCGGTGCCGTGCTGGCGGTGACAGCAGTGCCGGTGACCCCGAGAGCAGCCGCCGGCCCCAGGGAAGATGAAGCCTGGGATGGATCCAGGTGCTGGGGGGGCCCAGGGGCTGAGGGGGGGGCCGGGCTGCCCAGCTGCCAGCTCGGCGGGGTGGTCGCTGCCCAGGGCCTGGCATCACCCACCCCCACCGGGGTCCCCCCCAGGATTTGGGGGCTCTCAGCAGGACCGTCCCCCACGCCAGTGTGGGGCCGCTGGTGCCGCGGGGACGGCCCTGTCAAGGGGGTGCCCAGAGTGGGGCTGAGCCCCGGGACACCCCAGCTGGTCCCCGGGGAGGGCCGTGGGGTCGGTGACGTGGGCGCTGCAGAGGTTGGGGCAGGCTGTGGGGCTGTGGGGGCATGGGGGGGCCCTGGGCTGGCGTGTGCCCCCCCGCTCTGTGCCACAGCGGTGCTGCCCGGGGCCGCCGAGGTGGGGGGCTGCCAGGTCTGGTCCAGGGGGACGTGGCTGTGCTCGGGGGCACCCTCTGGGTCGGGTGGCCCCAACAGCCCTGGGGTCGGGCCCAGGGCTCCCCCCGGGCTGGGGGATGTCACCCCTGGGGTGCCGGCTGTGGCAGTGGGGACAGGTAAACCCAAGCCCTTGCCTGCAGCAGGCAGTGAGGTTGGGCCTGTCGCCGTGGCTGGCTGGGCTGTGCTGGCTGGGGGGTCCCCACGGCCACCAGTCCCCAGGGAGGGCGAGGAGGGGCGAGGGGCAGAGCGGGGACCCTGCCAGGCAATGTCCGTCCTGTGCCCCGGGTGGGAATCAGAGCCTCGTCCTTCCCCCGGCAGCCCCAGCCGGGTCCCCTGCTCTGTCCCCGCGGGGCTTGGCAGCCCTGGCAGCCCCCCCACAAAGGGCGACGTCCCCATCGTCCCCGGCACAGGGCTGTCCTTGGCCAGCGAGACGCTCAGGTGAGTCCCCTTGCTGCTGTCACCCCGTGAGACAGTGGCCCCTGGGCCCTCCCCAGCCCACGGCTCTGGGGGTGAGGGGCTGTGTGAGCCCCCCTGCCTCAGCGCAAGGCCTGTCCCGGTGGGGCTCCATCCCGGTGGGGTGCTGGGGGTCCCCCCCTGCCCTCCAGCAGAGCCGGGCACCGTTGCAGAGGACGGCGAATGCGATGGGGTCCCCTGCGGGGTCGTGGCACCTCCCGCCGTCACATTTCCTGCGGGGTCAGTCCCGGGGGGAGACCCGAGGGCTGGGGGAGGGGACGGCCCCTCGCTGCCAGCAGCGAGCAGCAGCCCCAGGTGCTGGGTGGCTGTTCCACCCCACGCCGTGGGCCCCGTCCCCTCCCCGCCTGCCTGGGGGCTCCCCGGGGGGCTGGGGGGCTCAGCGGTCCCGTTGGGGGTCCCAGGGAAGGGCGGCAGCTCAGCCCCTGTCCGCGGCTGCCCCACGGCCTCCGGCGTCGGCGCGGGCCCCGTGCCAGCTCCTCGCTCCGGACCTGCGGGCGGAGGCAGAAGACGCTGCGCAGGGCTGCCCCACGGCCGGCACCCCGGGCCCCAGCGCGGCGCCCACGCACGTGGCCGGCACGCGGTGCCACGGCGAAGGGCGACGAGTGGGACGGGACGGTCGTGGCCCCGGCGGTACCTGTGCGGCAGCGCTCGCCCGGGCGGGCGCAGGGGATGGCGGAGCCGGTCCCGGTGCCGAGACCGGGGCAGAGCCGGGCGCAGCACTCCACGATCACTGGGGAGAGAGGGGAGAGCTCTGTGCACTGGTGACAGGCACCAGCACCGTGTCCCCCCCCGCCCCCAGGAGCTGCCTCCCCCCGCTGCCGAGGAGATGCTCAGGGACGCCCCAAAACCCGGCGGAAACCGCCGGAACCGAACCCCGTGCCACGCACCGGCACGTGCTGGGAACGGGCGGTTTGCCCTGAACCGAACCACCGACCCGAGAGCCGCCACGGGCCAACACCAGGTCCCCGGGCAGAGCACCAGGCCAGTGCCGGACCAGTGCCGGACCAGTGCCAGCCACCACCAGGCCAGTGCCAGCCACCAGCAGGCCAGTGCCGGACCAGTGCCGGACCAGTGCCAGCCACCACCAGGCCAGTGCCAGCCACCAGCAGGCCAGTGCCGGACCAGTGCCGGATCAGTGCCAGCCACCACCAGGCCAGTGCCAGCCATCGCCCCGGCCAGGGCTCTGGGTCCCCGGGGAGGGGGGGTGGGGGGTGCGGGAGGGTCACCAGGCATTCGGGCGGGTGGTCGCTCGCCGTGGTGGGGCCGGAGCTGGGGTCACCACGACCCCCGCCGGCCCCGCTCCCCGCCAGCACCCCACTCCTCCTCCCGCAGCCGCGTCCCCCCGTGTCCGCCCCCCCCCGCGGCTGAACCCCCCCCCCCCCTCCCGGGCGGGTCCCGGTGACACCCGCCCCCCGCCCTCCTCCCCCCCCCCCCCCCCCCCCCGCCGCAACCGGGCAGCCCGGACCCGCCCGAGCCCGCTGCCGGTACCGGCCCCGCCACCGCCGCGGAGCCCCGAGCCCGCGGGGCTACACCGGCCGCGGCCCCCCCCCCTCCCCCCTCCGCGGGGGGAGGCAGCGGCGGGTCCCGGCGCTCACCTGCGGCGGCCAGGAGCCGCGGGAGCCGCGGGAACGGGAACCGGAGCCGCTCCATGGCGCTGGCGGCAATGCCGAGGCGGCAGGAAGCCCCCGCCCGTCCCCTCTGCGGCGGGGCGGAGGCACCGGGGAGCCGCAGCCCCCGGCCCGGGCCCGCCCCACCGGCAGCTTGTGCGGGAGCCCCGGGGCGGGGTGGTGGGGGGCAGAGCCAGGGCTGGGGGGGACCGGCGCCGAGCCCAATTCGGTGCGGTGCCTGCGGGGACGGGAGCCCGGCTGGGCGCCGGCGGGTCCCGCTTCCACCCGCCCCGGTTCCAGCAAAGCCGTAAGGCCGGGCCAGGGCTCTGCCCCCACGGCCCCCGCCCGCTCCGGGCTGCTCTGGCTGCGGCTCCTTCACCGGGTCATCCCCCGGGCCCCCCCACCCAAGTGAAACCACCCGCGCACCGGCACTCCCGGGGGCACCGGCACTCCCGGGGGCACCGGCACTCCCGGGGCCGGGCCGGTGCCTCGGAACCGCCCCAGCCGCGGTGGCCAAAACCACCCAGTCCCGCCCCTGCGCCCCCCGTTCCGCCGCGCAGGCTGCTCACAGAAACCTTTCAGGAGCCGGTGGGGGTGAAGGGGCGATTCGGGGCTCGCGGGGGTCCCGCGGGGGATTTGAAAAGCAGCGAGGAGCAGCCCCGGGGCTGCCCCGAGCCCACCCCCTCGGGCCCCGGCTGTGTCTGTCCTCCCCGGGTCTGTCCCCCATCCTCCGCCACCCCCCGACTGCCCGGGGGGGACACGTTATCGAGCCCCACTTCCTTAGCTCACAGCCCAGCAGCGCCTCCGACATACAAAAGCGGTTCTTGGCTCGGAGGAAACGCTGTGCAGCGTCCAGAAATAACTCGTGTCTGTCCTGGGAGAGATCTAAAGCGAGGCTCCCGTGCCGCGAGCAGCGAGCTTTACAGAAGCACGGATGCGATTTTGCTTTTTGGCAGCCCAGAGATCGTTCCCCCCGTTATCTTCCAGGGGGCAAGCGGAAACCTGGCACGCAGGACGCGTTCTCACCAGCGCTGCCGAGGCGAACGGAGGAGGGTGGTTTGTGGGACAGAGCTGCCCGGGCAGCGGGCGCAGAGCCTGGGGCCGGAGCCGCCGGCGCTTCCACACCCCGGGGGCCAGGAACCCCAACACCCCCCCGGCCAGGCCGGGGGGAGCCCCCCGCCCCGCAGCCCCCGGTTCCTCAGCCCTGACCGGTCCTTCGCCCCCCAAACACTGACCCGCCCAGAAAGGGACAAGCCCTCCACACAACAATGGTCTTGTATATTTATTCCTTTTTTTTTTTTTTCTTCTTTTTGAAGGACAACACATTCAGACAGCTTTAAATACAACGTCCAAGGACAACTTTCCGATGAAAGCAGCAACAGTACAGCGTGTGCGCTTATACTCATACCCACTGACACCAGCCCAGGCCGAGCGGTAGGGACTTCTCCTGTTAAAAAATCCACATATTTAACATTTCATCAACGGACGACTACCATTTTGAGGCCCTGAAGCAGCGGGTCAGGCAGAGACAAGACGAGCTCAGGTGGCTGAAGCCTACACAGGGAAGTGGAGCCAGCGGCTCGCTTCCCCAGCAGCCCCCGAGCCCCCCCGAGCCCGTCGCTCCAATCACCCCCTCCTGCCCGTTCCCTCTCCTGCTGCAGCTCCCGTGGCTGAGGGCTGTGCAGGGTGGGATGGAGGAGCCCTGCAGCCTCCCCACAGCACCCACCCCCCCACACACAGCACCCACTCCCCACAGCCTGCCCGGCCCCACGCCCTTAGCTCCCCCCAGCACCCGGGACACTCGCGGGAGCACACTCCCACTTACTCACCTCTGAAGAGCTGGTTTTATTCATAAACATCCTTCTTATCTGCGATGTAATCTACAATCTCTTGCGGACACATTAGCTTTTCTGCATCTCCGTCGGGAATTTCAAATCCTGGAAGAAAGCGCGCCCATTCAGCCCGATCCCAGGGCACGGGGAGGGAGGGGGAGGGAAGCGGTGAGGGCTGGCTGGGGCGGGGGGTGCCGGGCGTGGGGCGACTCTTCCCTCCCAGCCACGGGTTCCCAGAGTGGGACAGGGAGGAGGAGCCCCCTGTGTGCGAGGGGAGGGGGTGCTCGTGGTGACTCCAGGCGGGCCGGAGCCCCCCAGTTCGGAGGCAGAACTGGGGCTGAGTACCAGCTCGTGCAGCGCCGCAGCCGGGGGGCACAGGGGCTCTCAGCAGCAAAACCGCCCACAAACATGTCCTGGAACATCGACACTTTTCCTCCTGCTCCTCCCGGCCACACACCAACGTGCCAGGCACGGCACACGGTGAGTGGATTAAACACAGAGCGCTGGCAAACACTCTGGACGTGAAGCACCTGCCCAGAGCTCAGGGAATGATCAAAGCCCGGGGGCTTTCACGAGCCACTGTGACGGATTAGGCACGCACGCCAGAATTTATGAGCTTTAAATGGTGGCATGAAGTCCAAAATGAAGTCAAAGGAAACTTGGGATATAAGCCAATAAGGAAAAAACACCCTCTTTTTCCTCGTAGCATCAAGTATTGAGGATTGAAGTAACCCTGTTGAGGAAAAACCTGGACTATCTGTGATTTCAGAAGCAGAAGCCACGGCCAGCTCCAGGTGCAGCCTTTGTGCCAAAGGCACTGTAGCCCATGCCCACGCTGCTGAGCCCCTCCCCAGCGACACGGGGGTGTGGGGTGCCCGACCCCCAGCCCCCCCTGGGACCCTGCCTGCAGGCAGACAGACAGACAGACACCGGCCCCTGGCTCCTCGCTGCGGGCAGCACGGTTTTCTGTAATTACATCGGGGAAAAGGCGACGTTAGAGGGGAGAGCGAGCACTATTTGCTGCAGCTGCGCTTCGGGATTAGCCTGAATCACCCAGAAAAGGCAGCAGCGAGCGCGAGCAGGCGCCACTCCGAGTTACCAAATTCGTCCTCCATAGCCATGATGATTTCTACTTGGTCCAAACTGTCCAGACCCAGGTCCTTCATGAAGTGGGACTCCGCGGTGAGCTGGGGGGGAGAAAGAACGGGGCTCAGCCGGCCGCGGCCGCCTCACCCCGGCGGGAGCCGCAGCCCCGCGCTGAACCGGAGCCCCCAGCCCCCCGGCCCGGCCCGGCCGCACTCGCCTTCTCCGGGTCGATCTTGTCGTACAGCTTGAGGACGTAGAGGACGCGGTCCTTGATGTCGGCCAGGGTGAGGGGCGGCAGGTCGGAAAAGCGGCGGCACGGCGGCCAGGCCGCCCGCGGCACCCGCAAGAGAGCGGGAGGCAGCGGGCAGCGCCGGGCCGCCCGCCCGCCCGCGCCGGGCCCCGGCAGCGCCAGCGGCGGGTGACGAGGCCGCAGGGTGCCGAGCGCGGCGGGCCGCGGGGCGGGCGGCGGGCGGGACAGCGGGCGGCGGACACAGGCCGAGAGGACACGGGCCGCCATGGTGACCTGCTCCCAGCGGGCACCGCGCCGCTCCCGGCAGCCCCCGCGCGGCGGGGCGGGGCGGGGCGGGGGGGCGGCGGGGGCGGCAGCGACCCCTGGCGGCCGGAGGCCGAGAGGAGCCCGCGGAGCGACCGGGCAGAGACCGACCCCGGTACAGAACCGGCACGGGACCGGGCAGAGACCCCAGCAATCCCCGGTACAGAACCGGCACGGGACCGGGCAGAGACCCCAGCAATCCCCGGTACAGAACCGGCACGGGACCGGGCAGAGACCCCAGCAATCCCCGGTACAGAACCGGGCAGAGACCGATCCCGGTACAGAACCGGCACGGGACCGGGCAGAGACCCCAGCAATCCCCGGTACAGAACCGGCACGGGACCGGGCAGAGACCCCAGCAATCCCCGGTACAGAACCGGCACGGGACCGGGCAGAGACCTCAGCAATCCCCGGTACAGAACCGGCACGGGACCGGGCAGAGACCCCAGCAATCCCCGGTACAGAACCGGGCAGAGACCGACCCCGGTACAGAACCGGCACGGGACCGGGCAGAGACCCCAGCAATCCCCGGTACAGAACCGGCACGGGACCGGGCAGAGACCCCAGCAATCCCCGGTACAGAACCGGCACGGGACCGGGCAGAGACCCCAGCAATCCCCGGTACAGAACCAGGCAGAGACCCCAGCAATCCCCGGTACAGAACCGGCACGGGACCGGGCAGAGACCCCAGCAATCCCCGGTACAGAACCGGCACGGGACCGGGCAGAGACCCCAGCAATCCCCGGTACAGAACCGGCACGGGACCGGGCAGAGACCCCAGCAATCCCCGGCACAGAACCGGCACGGGACCGGGCAGAGACCCCAGCAATCCCCGGCACAGAACCGGCACGGGACCGGGCAGAGACCCCAGCAATCCCCGGCACAGAACTGGCACGGGACCGGGCAGAGACCCCAGCAATCCCCGGTACAGAACCGGCACGGGACCGGGCAGAGACCCCAGCAATCCCCGGTACAGAACCAGGCAGAGACCCCAGCAATCCCCGGTACAGAACCGGCACGGGACCGGGCAGAGACCCCAGCAATCCCCGGTACAGAACCGGCACGGGACCGGGCAGAGACCCCAGCAATCCCCGGTACAGAACCGGCACGGGACCGGGCAGAGACCCCAGCAATCCCCGGTACAGAACCGGCACGGGACCGGGCAGAGACCCCAGCAATCCCCGGTACAGAACCGGCACGGGACCGGGCAGAGACCCCAGCAATCCCCGGTACAGAACCAGGCAGAGACCCCAGCAATCCCCGGTACAGAACCGGCACGGGACCGGGCAGAGACCCCAGCAATCCCCGGTACAGAACCAGGCAGAGACCCCAGCAATCCCCGGTACAGAACCGGCACGGGACCGGGCAGAGACCCCAGCAATCCCCGGTACAGAACCGGCACGGGACCGGGCAGAGACCCCAGCAATCCCCGGTACAGAACTGGGCAGAGCCCCTGGAGCCCCAGGCAGCCCCCGGCAGAGACCCCAAGCAGCCCCCGGCAGAGACCCGGGTGGAGCCCCCGGGGAAGGGCCCGGCGCGGCAGCAGGCACAGAGTCGTCCCAAAGCCAACAGGTTTAATGGCAGCACTGGCACCCGGTGCCTGGCCCCAGCGCACACACAGCCCCCCACACCCCCTTACCGGCTGCCCTGCGGCGGCAGCAGAAGCGGCAGGCCCCGCCGGTGCCGGGGACCCTCGCCCCAGCCCCCAGTCCTCTGTCAAGCTGCCCCGGGCTGGGGCTGCCGGTACCGGTAGAGGCAGACAGTCCCGTCCCGCTGCCCGGCCAGCAGGCAGGCGCTGGGGGTGGCCCAGCGGGCCAGCGACCAGCTCCCGGCCGGGCCCGGGGGCAGCAGGGCCGTGCACTGCCCCAGGAGCAGGTCCCACACCG